ATTGAGAATCTTCCACGAATTAATATTTTGTATTAATTCACGTAATATAATTCTCAGAACACGAAAACATATATGTCTTATTTTATATAATAGTGGCCTCATGTTTTGTCTTTACATTTGATTAAATTAGTGACTTTTGAAGTGACCACGATCTAACTTAACTCTCTATTGGAGATTTGACCTCCAATGAAGATAGCTCTAGTTGATCAATTCATCATGAGACATAACTCCTATAATTGGGGAAATAGAGAATAGATAAGATTGTTTTTTACTAAAGGTTGAGTCGTATGGATAAGTCGTGATTTTTTATATATTTCTAAAGTCTTCATGGTAGAGTTTGAGTTATATCGATAAGCTATAACTTTATAAATTGGCATACGTGATCTTGATTTTTAACGAATCTATCAATACCAAAAATTTGCATTTTATTGACTAATACCCAAATGAAATAAGTTATCAAGCTTGAAGTATCTTAGGATATTCTAGTTTAGGTAGGGGAAATATATTTTTATATTAGTTGTATAAGAAAACTAGGATACTAAAACCTATTTCATAGTAGAAGGGAATAATTCAACTTTTGATTTTGGAAAGAGAAAATTAGCCGAAGAATTTTTATATTTTATAATTAAAGTCCAATTGTCACCAAACAATACAAATTGGTTTTGACATCGTTTCTGTTTTAATGTCTTGCAAATTAAAAAAAATTTATTTAGCATCACGTTTTCCATGTATGACATGATGTGATTTAACGTGATATAAACAATTATATACACAACAAAATTTGTCGGCTATAGTAGCTAATTTTACATATTGAACATCACAAATAAGTGTGAATAATATGAATCCACAAACAAAGGGTATAGAAAAAGTTGGAACACTTTGTTATGATAAGGTATGTATATGTCCTAAGATCCTTAGTGAATCAAACCCACTCATTACTCTCCATAACGGGAAGAGTTATTGGAGGCAATTCTTTATATTTTTGCTGTAAATATATTTTTCAATTATATCTCTTTTGTCCGTATGTGGCCTCACCATGTGATGATTTGAGAGTCCAAATCCAAACGAAGAACAAATTAATTTAAAACGTCCATATTGTTCCATAAGTCCACGTATACATATGTATGTGTGTGGGAGAACAGACTCATTAGAGGTGTAAAAAGATTGATCGCTAACAAGGTGCAAAATAAGCCGAACTTATAGACTTTGTAGAGTTTCATGGCATTCTCTAGAGGTACGTGCCATTGGGCATTATTCAAACTTGGGTCATGCCAAGCTATAAAAAGAAACATGAAAAAGTGTGGGAAGAATGATTGTTTGAACGTGTAGAAAGGACTAGATTACCAATGAGGCACGACAAGAGCTAGATGTATGAGTTGTGTTGATTTTCATTTTATTGAAAGTGTTTGGCTCAATACAAACAATTTTATAGCTCGACATATGCAACTACAACATATTAAACTTCTTTAACGATCAATTTAAAGATGACTATATATCGAGTGTTACATTTACTGAATTAAACATTTATTTATTTAAGTTCTCTTGGATATCTTCTTATTTTTACGGTTGCATGCATGAGATTGTCTGTTTTTTTCAATTCATAAATTTGAAATAATTTGTGTAATTCATGCGGTATCATGATTTCTCTACTACAAATATGCAAATCATTATACAAATAATTGATAAAAAGATTAAATCGAAGTTAGTCCATTCCAAAAATTAACTAGAAAAATAATTCGAATGACCTAATTCACCATCTTTACTTGAGACCAAA